GGGCAGAAGAGGCTCTGTGAAGGAAAGCGGGGAGGGAGGAAGTTTCCCGCGGGCAGGCCGTGCCGTAAAAGCAGCAGCCGCCGCTGCGAGATCGCTTCGTTTATTTTTTTTATTTAATTCTAGTTTATTTTTTGCCAGCGTGGCTGGTTTTAGCCAAGCCTTCCTGACAAAAGCCTGGCTAGCCGTACAGCTGTGCTCCTCCCGGTGGGTGTTTAGTCAGAAAAGTGACGCTGGAAGAGATGTCAGGTGGAGCAGAGCGTACGGTAAAAATCTGCTGATAAACCCAGGCTCGTCTCAGTAGTTAAAAGGAACTTGTTTGTAGAATGACTTTCACCTCGGCTCAGTTTTAAGCGGTCAGGTGTTTGTGTCACAGCTCTTTGTGGTATTTGGCAGTCCGGTAGCTGAAATTAAAGACCCCGAGGCAGGTTTTTTTCCCACAAGAAGATGGAAACCGTTGTGTCTGTATCTGTGGTTGTGAAGGGGTGTAGTCAGTGGTGTGTTTGGCATCTTTCATTGAACTTCAAAATCCGGATGACTGCAATTGAAAACACTTTGATTTTCATTGACGTACATATATATTCATAACTTCTAAAGAGTACAGTTCCCTTGCATCTGTTTGAGATTAAATTATTCTTACTATCCCTACGAATTTGGTGGTTTTTCTTCAGAACAGTAGATGAAGTTGTCGAGCGAATGCTTTTAGAGGAAGGTATGCTAATGAAGTATTTCTGGCTATCTTCTGCAAATGTCCTCGGCTTTTGCTTTCGAAATGATGGCGCTTTGTGGTTAAACTTTAGGAACTCTGGAAAGTATCGTGCTCTCAAGGCGTTTCCCCTCCTGCCATATTCTGCAGATGCCAAGGGGTAATTATTAATTATTTCAGAGTGAAAAGGAGTTGTTGGTAAGGGAAGTCTGGTGCAGGAGCTGAAATCTTCAGTGAGAAACCATTGAGTAGTTTCAGCAGGGTTTCTACCTGAAGTGCATACGCACTCGATAACGTTCTGTCTTCTGTCCCCATGCTGATCTGTGTGCTTTCACTTCCTCCCCCTGGATGGCTTCAACGAAATCTGGTCGTTTCTGTGAACCGGTGTATATATTGCTGAGGTATTATCTGGAGAATTGTGGCCTTAGGTCTGTAATTTGCTCAAGTTTTTCTCAAATAGAGAAATAACGGGTTATCACTGAGGCTTTAAAGTCTTAGGACGGGTTGTTTGTTTAGGGTATCTTTTCATACTTTGCTATTAAGGGAGTGATTTTAGGGAGATTTGTGGTTTAGCTATCCCATTTTTTTGTCCTTCTTGTGTTCTTTAAGTGTTGGTGCTACTCAGGTAGCCTGATTGTCCTGAGCTCTCCCTGCTTAACCAGGAGCACCTAAGAGTACAAATTGGTGTGCAGCAGTGGCTATGGTCCTCTCAAACACCTTGAGACTTCACCCATGTAGCACGACACCAAGTTATTAACCACGCTCTGCTGCTACTAGAGCAAAACCTTCAAAGATTTTGCACGCTCCAGGACTAAAACCGCTTCCTGAATATCAAGTGCCACGAATGCCTTCTGCTCCTGTGCCCCAGAAGGAGCTCTCTGGGACTGGGGGACATTGACTGTGAGTACAGTTGGGCAGCATGGGTATTTTGGGGAGAGTGAGGTCCAGAATTCCTTCCTCCAAGGCAGAAGCTGAGCTAGTTGGAGCTGAGAACAGCTGTGCTGACTTGCTGGAGTTTGCTACAGCTCTTCCCTCAAGAAGAAGAAGAGGAGGGAACCGATGTTCAGTGAGGTGTCCCTGGACTCTGCCACTTGCAAATCCTGCTTCTGCCTGGAAGATGTCTGGAAGGGCGCAACGTCACGGTTATTTTAGAATTTATGTTGGAGGGTGGAGGCCTGCGGTTTGGGACCGGCTGCTTTGTCGCCTGCAGCCCTACCTACAGGAAAAGGCAGTCAGCCGCGGTGTTCGCTGGGTGCCTGGAGGGAGACAATGTGCTTCGTCTGCTGAGGCTCTTCCATCCTCCCTCGGCTGCTGCGTTGCGTGGCCCACTCTTAAAAGAGTTTCTAATTTTAGGGTTTGGGAAGGGGACATTACTTTCTTTTCATCCTTGTAATAGAAAACACAGATTAGATGCAGAAATTTTACTCCCCTTGAAGAGTTTAGATAGTCTGCTCCTCTTGCAGTAGCAACAAATCTTTTTTACTGTACGACTTGATTATTTACGTTTGTATTACCCAAAATGCGCCGTTACCTTCAGAGCAATATTCAAAGAGACAAGTTAGCTACGCAGAAGATGTTGCAGGCTAAAGTTGGACGTGATGGAAATAAGGCTGACAGCGGTGGCAGAAGGAGTAAGATGGCGGGGGGGGGAGTTAAGTTTGTGCCATGTCTGTCTTCTGAGATGTGAACATCTTGAAATTTCTCCCATAAGATTTTTCCGTGCCTCCTGCTTATGAGGGAGTTTTGCGAAGGGCTTTAAATGAAGGTGGTAGCTTGACACGTGAGCCTTGCGAGCACTTGGATCCTGCGGTGTCCTGTGAAAGCAAGCACTTGTTTTGCTGTCCCTTTTTTGGGGGCTAACGGCAGAACGTTCCCCTGTGATCCAGCTGCAGGCAACATCTTTACTTGGGTGTGAACAGCTGGGGCCCTTGTGTGCTTCTAGCGTGAGACTGATTTTGCGGTGTTCTGAAACTGCATTTCTGATTTTGTACTTTGTTTTTAAGTAAGGTTGGCTGTATTTTAGCCTTTGTTCCGAAGCCTTGTTCTTAAACAGCTATGTTCTCAGGAACCAAATCCACTTCCTAGCTGTGCCTGGCTGTGGAACGCCCTATGTGCTTCCTATTCATAGTTAGGATGTGTTTGGGATGAGTACAATAACCTTTCATTTGGCTTTTAAAACGAAGGAGTCAAAACACACCCAAACTAAAACCCATTTTGAACTGGTTGGTTTGGGTTTTTTTCCTCCATCAGGCTAGAACCAAAATTTGAGCTTTTTCTCGTGAGGCCCTTGGAGCTTGCAAGCTCTCCCGAGCTCTTTGGTCCTGCAGATCAGCCGGGAAGAATTAGAGAAGCAGCAGCACTGTGGTGCTGTACCGTACCAGGAGAAGTAACCTCAGGGGGACGTCATGACCGAGGTAACGGGAAGGCTGAAGCTTCTCCCCGGCTGAAGTCCCAAACCGCAGATGTGTCCCTGTTACAAGGTCCCTTCTCGCATGAACCGCCCTGGGATTATCGAGCTGTTGCTGTCCTGAAGTAGAACGGCCTCCATCAGAACGAAGCTGGAACAAGAACCGAAGAACTGCTGGTTCAGCTCATTGCTTTAGGCAATCTAAGATTAGATTATTTTTTTCCCCAGTAACAGCTTTATTTCAAAAAAATACATCACGTGGGCTTTACATTTACCCCTGAAAGTGCTGTGTTTGCGTTAGAGATCGGTATCTGCTAAATATCACTGATGTCATCTGGCAATTCTCGTGTCAGGTGGTTCGGGACAGAGAACAAGAAGTGAGAATCCAGTTCTCGTTCTGCCGCAGGTTTCCTGGATATACGTTGTTATGATGGCGGTTTCTCTCATACCTTATTCCGGCAGTGCCTCGATCCGTTTTACGTACAGATGTTTCCCTCTGCGCAAATCCCTTCTGCAAGTGAAGCGTCAGCAGTCCTGTGCCTCCGGGGCCAGTTTCCAGGGTGCCTATAAAATAGCTTTAAAATCTTCAGGTTTTTAAAAGTGAGCCTGGGGCTTTATTTTCATTTATTTCTTTATTCTGGAGGTTTTTCTCATTTGTGTTTCCCAACTATTCCGTCTTTGAATATATCTTAGAAAGCTGTTGGTTTTATTTGGGAGGAGAGGCGAAGAAATTTTAGCGTAAGCCTTGATTGCATCCTCACAGGTTTTAGGAATTAAACCCAGACATAAGATTGATTAAAAAGCTTGTGCATTGATGATGTGGTAGATGCATTGTGCTTTAATACCAGGTAAACCATGCTGTTGCCAGAAGCAAAGACTCCAATATTAAGTATTTAATCATAAAACATACCACAGAAATATTACTTGAGCACTATCTTCTTGTGTATCTCTGGATTCTTGCTCTCCCTTAGGAACAAGCTGGAGAACGCTGTCATTTTATACTAAGGAATGTCTTGTTTTAGCCCTAGAAATGTGGAAAGCTTACTCAAAATATTTGCTCAGGTGTAGTTTTTTTACTTCAAAATGATTTCTTTGGGGGGTAAAAAAAGATCACAACTGTACTTAAAGGCAGATCTGGTTGGAAGGAAGCCTTCAGCTGGCCTGAGGTTCCTTGTGGTGTTAAAAACTTCTCATTTATTTTTTTATTATTCTTTATTAATTGTAAAAAGCAGAAGTAGCTGGTGCTGTTTCAGGAAAGTCCTCTGGTTTAGGTTTTGCTAAGCAGAGTACATTTCCACGTCGCCAGGCTTGTTGACTTTCCCCTCCTTGGTGAGAAGTGGAGGCCGCGCCGTTCAGGGGTAGCCGCCTAAAATAGTTTGTAACTTACGCTGATGGGAAAGCTCTTTTCCCAGTTGTCTGTGACTTTTAAATGCTTCTGGCTGTTGCTTTTGTCCCTTGTAAACCACCTACTGCGTATACACGTGCAGTAACGTTTACCGTGCGCCTAATAATCCGTATCTGCAGAGCCCAAAGGAGAATCGGGCTTTTCCCAGTGCGAGTGTACGGGAAGTAGATCAGGTTTTACATCTTACTTTAAAAAGGTTTTATTCCTGCCAGAGAAGGGAAATGAGCTCTTCTGACAGGGAGTTAATAAATCCAACTTGCTTCAGGAGCAGGAAATAACACGAGTGAAGTTGAGAATTACTTCTAAAGGCAGCTAAAACTTGAGCTCCAGTCACTCAACCGTTTGGAATAATTGACAACTTAAAATATACAGGGCTCGAGCTCGTGTGTCTGACTGTGGCTAAAAGGAATAACATCACCAAAAAATAATATAGTTCAGAGGAAAATGACCCCCTTTGAAAAGCTGAGCCGTTGTATCTGAGATTTACTATTGATGAAGGACCCACTTCTGAGGAAAATCCGAATATAGAAGAGCAACAGAGTCTTGGTTTTGTTCTGGAGGATGGTCAGACTGAAACTTCATTTCTTGTTTCATGCCTTTATATTTACTCCTTGTACCCAGATTGTTACGGGTGCCTTGAAATTTTCCTGTTCTCAGCAACCCCCAAAGAGTCTGTTTGTAACAGCTCGGCCGAAAAGCGTGAATACCTTCCAGGGCAAGGATGAAGTCGTAGCTGATGCTTGCTGTGGATGGCAGCCGGAGCAGCAAATGCAGAATCAAAATTAGAATAAAACTGATGTGAAAAGTCAGTTTGCCAAATATCTTCAATACCATGGCAAGATGTATAAGCTTAAATCTGCAAGGGTAACGGGTATGTCGGTGTTCAGGTGATTTTTGGTGCGATACAGCCGTGTAACAGGTTCCGGGTTCCCTCTGTCTCTGGTCAGGTTTTCCCTGTTTTCTGGCTTGCGTCCTATCTTTGTGCTCGCGACAGGAACAAGCGTATGAAAACGAAAGGCTAAGCCTTCCCAAATTCTCTTCGCTCCCTTTGGTTTCCGTTGCAGTGGAAGATCGACGACAAGCCGGTAAAAATTGACAAATGGGACGGTTCAGCTGTGAAAAATTCGTTGGACGATTCTGCCAAAAAGGTACGTTCTGTGACTCCTGAGTTCTCCCTCTCGGGAAACACTCGTGTTTTCTTGGGTTTCTACATTTAGTTTAAAAACTCTGTCAACTTTTTTTGGGGGGGTTATATTTGCAAAATGCCCGTAGCTGTGCTGGTTCTGTAGCGATTCCCATGGCTAGAGCAGTGTTTGGGCTTCAAGTATCAGCAGTTACTAGGGTGTCTGATGCAGACATTAATTCTGTGTAAAGTTTCTGCTCAGTTTATCGAGGTTGTTTTATTTAAATCCTTTCCAGAAGCGGTTTATAAAACATAGGATAAACTCGTCTGCGTGCTTCTCCCGCAGGTTCTCCTGGAGAAGTACAAGTACGTGGAAAATTTCCGTTTGATCGACGGCCGCCTCATCATTTGCACAATCTCTTGTCTCTTTGCGATTGTAGCTTTGATTTGGGATTACCTGCACCCCTTTCCTGAATCCAAACCTGTTCTTGCCTTTTGTGTTGTATCATATCCTTTACAGATGGCCTCATTTACACCAAAAGAGGTTTATTTTCCCCATAAAGCACAACAAAACCCTTCTCTGTGTTCCTGTTTTCAAGCCCCTGAGAATTTTACTTCCCGTGGTGTGGAGATCAGCTGATAATCGGTTTTCATGTGCTGGCAAAATTCGGCTCACGTCAGAGGAGTCAGCAGCTGCCTGGGCAGCTGATCTGCTCGCCGGGCTCGCCGCTGTCTTTGAGTGAACTTCCCAGATCTCAGACGCTGACTGCGCGGAGATTCCTCCACTTCAGCGCGTTAATATCAACTGCAGATCAGCCCTTGGAAGCTTCAGGGGGTTGGGTTGGGGTTTGGGTTTGGGTTTTTTTTTTTTTTTAATTCTACCTATAGCCTGGATAATTCATCTTGCAACATTTCAAATAATTTAATTCCAAAAATGAGAAAGATGAATTGTTCAACCTGTACTTAGGAGGAATGCGCAGCGATTAATTCTGTGACTCATTAGATCTCACGTTTTCCCACTATCTCCCAACAGATGATGCTCCAAAAATTTAGTGAATTGAAAACATTATTGCGTTGCGATTTTCACTTTACTTGGTTCCCCGAAGGAAGCGTTACTTTACGTGGCCGGAGAATTCCCTTCCGGGAACGCGTGT